TGTGTGTGTGTGTGTGTGTGTGTGTGTGTGTGTGTGTGTGTGTGTGTGTGTGTGTGTGTGTGTGTGTGTGTGTGTGTGTGTCTGGGGGTGGCTCTTTAATTCTGTATGGATATTCCAAGTGCTTTCAATGATTTGATACCCTGAGTAGAGGACATAGGCTTGGGGGTGAACTTCAGTAGAAACCAAAAACCTTTTGGCCGAAAAAGGACATTACTAAGTAATACCACCTTTCACACATAAATACACACCTGTACTCGTAGGTACGTTATAAACCACAAATGTAAGCAGAGAGAAAGAAAACGACAACAAATCACCCATGACGACACGGTCCTTTTCAGCTTTGCAATATGCATATGTTCATGCATATACAGTGTGTATTTCCCCTTGCATACAGACAATTGGTTGGGGATTATATAGAGAGCCTTTAGTTATACCAACTCCCTCTGCAGAGACTAACACTGATTATTAAGAGACTGATACAAATGAGAGCAAACATAATTCACAGGACAGGCTGAGGAGCAAGATGAGAAGTGATTTCTGCGCAGCCTTGTAAACAGATGTGGCCAGAGAGCCAGAGAGGATGATGGGACAAACATCCACTTAAAGCAGCAAAGAGAGGACAGATTACACGAGGCAGAGGCTGGGTGGGAGTGAGGAAAAGAAGTAGTGAGTGAGGGGAGGGGCGTTTTTTTACCCTCCCAGCTTGCCAATCAAAGCAGCGGCGGCGTCTCGTGACTTTGACTGTCGTACTCAGCTAAACATCTGTCCTGGAGCTGAAAATCGAATTAAATTAATAAACACGTTCCTGCCTGCGCTGCTCGATGAAAGCTACTCCGAACACAAGGTGGCCTCTCAGTGATTTAATACAGCATCTGATAGTCAAGCAGCCTGTAGGCTGATCCAAGGGGATGGTTGGGGTTACTGGGGGTGTCCAAAATAACAGCTGCCCACTGCCCATCCCCAGCCTCGCTTCTCTCCGATGCCCCCCTCCACTATTCTCTGGACTGAGCGGAGAGAGAAGCTCAGACAAACAGCTGGATCCGCTCGCGGATGGTCTGCCGGCAGATCGGGCAGGTCTTAAGCGCGGCGCTGCAGTCGATGCAGGAGGCGTGCCCGCACTGGAAGACCAGCTTGATGTGGTTGTCGATGCAGATGGGACAGGTCATCCTCTCCTCCATCTGACGGTAGCGGGACTGCAGTTGTTCGAGCAGGTTGTGCTGCTCTGAGTTCTCGGTGCCGGGGCTGCAGTCCACCTCCGTTTGGTCTGTGGAAGGAGGTCATCGTTATTAAACGAGTTCATTTTATGCAGACTGTGCAGTGCTGTGCAAGATGAGACCGTCCTGCTGTACTAATGGCTCAAAAATAATAAGGTTAACACGGAGACAGCAGTGTCCAGAACACACAGCTGCTTTCATTTACCATTCAAGGCTGCGTCTGAGTGACCAGAGAGCACCACGAATACCGAGACGTCATCTTTAGGACATCATAAATGAATAAATAATTTCATGAATAAACATTAAGATAACAAGAAACATTTAAGGCTTAAGATTTCGGACAGTAAAGCAGCTAGAACTTACCTTGCCTAATTTTCTTGGTGATTGTGACCTGGCATTTGATGCACTTCTTCATGCGATGGGCACATTCTGTTTAGACAAGCACCGCATTAGCCAAGGATCAATTAGACTCAAAGTCTATTTTTGTCTGTATCAATAACAATACTGTTTGACATTCAATAATGAAAGTAGAGCAAACAACACAGAGAGAAAAAAGGCACAGCCCACCTTCACAGGCCACACTGTGCTGGCAGGGGCAGAAGAGAACCAGAAGAGCCAGCTCGGAGCAGATGAGGCATTCACTGGGCCCGGGCGGCGTTGGTAGAACCAGGTTGGTCATGGTGTTGGGCGTCGTGTGGACCCGCCGCAGGCTGGCGCTGCTCAGGCCCTGTCCGCATGTGATGGCCTGCAGGCGCTGCAACCTGACACACAACACACAGCTATAACGCCCCACTAAACCAAGGCTTCCTTTTTTAACCTCAGCTGACTCCCACACACCAGCGCTTATTCCTTAGCAACTGTTTTCTGTTTGTCATTTCAATGAAAAATAGCACATAAGAGTGTAAATATGACCGTCAGAATGTTTTATGAACTATGCATCATAAAAATATCAGCCACCGCTTCGTGTACTTCAACCCTAATTTTGCAAACGGCTACCTGTGCTTCTCAGAGAAGCTCTTGATGAGCTGCAGCATGGTGCTGTCTGCCACCAAGTCCAGAGGACTCTTGCCCTTGTGGTTGGCGTAGCTGATGTCAGCACCTTCCATCGCTAGAAAACAGGCGACAGCTGTGCCTACGCTCAGCTCCGTACTCCCCAGAAGACCTGTCGCGTTCAGCTGTGGACAGAGAAGATAAGGGAGGGGAGAGAAATTTTAGACCGTTTTAGAGACGCACTCTTTAAAAACCTAACAGCTGATCCGAACGGTGAGAGCTGAGAACAACTTAAAAACCTCCAGGAGCTGAATTTAAGCAACACCAGGTAACTGAAGTAAAAACAGTGCAACCCAGCTAAGGCTGATATATAATTGCACTCCTAATCAGCACGGAAGAACTCCTAATAACTCATCTGCTGACAGTGGCCAAAACAGCCCTGAGCACTTAAGTCTAGCCACCTTCATGGCTGTGTATGTGTGTGTATTAGTGTGCGCTTGGCAGGTGTCCAGGATGCTGAGAGGAGCTGCAGTGTTTGCGGTCATGTATACTAGAAAGGACGTTCTTCTTCACTGGTGCAATGATACCAACACGAACTGGTGGAACAGCAATTAAAGTGCTGCTCAAAGCAAAGAGTCAAGGGCTGTGTAAAATGAATACTAGGCTACTTCTCGTGAGTAAAATATTCAGCCAAGTATCAAACAACAGATAAACAAAGTTAGCATCTATCTAATTACCGGAACCTCTCTTTTCCCAGTGTAGGAATACGTGGAAATCATGTGACCTAAATCCATCTATTTCCCATTTTGATGATGTCAGAGCAGTCCTAACGGCTCAGCAAAGCATGTTTGTATTAACAACGTACAATTTGAATTAACTACAAGTAGTAGAATTAGCCGTTCTCTCATTTATTACAAAGTCTCTGCCAGTATTTTCTTTTAAAGCCACAGAACGAGATTAGAGTCAAAGACACAGTCATCGTACGAAATCCTAAATGTTGAGGGCTTATTGTTCAAATGTCTATAGCTTCACTGGGCATGCAGCCCCTGCTTTAAACTATATATGGTATCATTTCACTGCACTCCTGATTACTTTGTCCGCAGTTAACCCCACTCTTCTGCCATGTTTATACAACCTGCCAAAGTCCTTACTCCTTATTTAACGCCGTCTTTAAGGTCATGCCACCTGAGTCCTTCCAACTCCTTCTCACACTCATCCTGCTGTTTACCTGGTAAAGTCAACTAACTCTCTTACACTAAATTAACCCCCAGAACTAAGGGTAAATAGTGTAACACTTATTCATTTATGTTCATCATTTTATCCTCGACCCTTATTAGCCTTTATTTACCCTACTATGAGCCTGCACTTACACTCTAAAGCCCGCAATAATCTTTCTCCAGCTCTAAAGTAATGTTCTGATCGCCATTTACTCTCTTATCCAGTCTATATTTACATCTCTTAGTAGTCTTAGTAACCTTGTCTTTGTCCTATATTTACCTTGTTGCCAGGTTTTATTTAGCCACCATTTCATCCTGTCAAACAGCATCTTTTCTCTTGCTCTCTTTTCATTTGATCCACTTCCAGCAACACCAAGAATTCAACAGTAGAGGATCTCTTAAATGCCAATCTCATGTTTTAAATCTATCCCATCATAACGGGAATCGCAAAAGTTAAAAAGTGGTGAACTTTGGTGTAGCAGTAAAACAGTTTCATCAAACCAGGCGCTCCCCTCGAAGGAATCTTTTAAAAATGAAAAGAACAAATTTAACAACATGCCACCTCCCCCTCCCCGTCAGTTCTCACCCTGCAGTACAGAGACGTGGAGGAACATCCGTCGCTGCTCTCCTCGCTGCTGCTGGTACCTACGGATGGGCTGAGCATAACGTTGGCCAGCTGCGGGCGGAGGAGGGCCACGTGCATGGCCGTGTCACCGTCCTCGTCCTCCATGTTGACGTCGGCGCCCTCGTCCACCAGCAGCTGCACCAACTCTGTGTGGCCCTGCGTCACCGCCAGCTGAAGCGGCGTCTGGTTCCGGTTGTTTCGGATGTTGATGTCACAGCGCCCCTGTAGAAGAAGAAGAGCAAAAAGAAATACATTTTTTTTTTAGTTTTACAACAAAAGCATCGGTTTAAACAGGTAAATATGCAAACGTATGGTCAACTCGCCTCCTTGATGAGGATTTCTGCGACATCTTTGTGGTTGTTGAGAGCCGCCAGATGCAGCGCAGAGAAGCCGTCCTCTTTTTTAACATCGACCAGCTGCCGTGCTCGGGCCAGGATCTTTTCTGTGGCCCTGCCAGCAGGACAGAAACACAACACTCAATTAGCCACATCGTTCCTGACTCCTTAAATTAAGTGCTGTATTAGCTGTCTTCGAGCTTGTTGCCCCATCAAACACTCACAGAAACGGCTGAATATTGATATAATGGTAACACTTGAATTGAATGGAATATCAATGTATTTTATTTGATGTTGTTTTATTTATCTACAAATACTTAAACGTAGGGACACTGGAACAAAGGGACAACAAGTCAGGCTTTTACAGGAAACAAAAAAATAGTTATTCAACTGTCCTTTTATTTTACTCAAATATATGTAATAAGGCCTGTTCTCCCTTCCTAAGGTAAAATAAAATAAAATACTATATCAGCAATAACTATGTGACCTTAAAATGAGAAAACAATCAAGCAGGATCACAAATAAGCTGTTCTAAATCTCTACTAAATACCAAGTTTAACGTGAACATCCATCATGCACATCAGCATGATGAATATTAAATAGAGAAGTAAAAAAAAAAAAAAGGGGGGGGGGAAGGGCCCAAAAAGTGCAATGTATTTATGATGTAAGCTGGGGAAATACTATTTGTTTTTCCACTGAATTTTAATGAAATGACGCACTTACAGTATAAATAAAACGACAACAGCCTAAATGTACAACATTGAGTACTTCCTTAACCATATATTGATGTAGGCTTATCATTATGTGCCTGAATCTGACCAGACAGCGACAAGTGTCTACAACACCACCTTGAGCTGAAGAAAAGGCACAAAGCATAAACCTCTCAGAAATGGAAATATGATCAAGTTTCCTGGTCTCTGAAATGAGCTTGGACTGAGACGCAGCTGCTGTAAAGCCGCTAACAAGCCAATCTGACAAGAACGCTCACCATCATCATCAGTATTCAAACAAACAGTGCACTACATCAAGGACAAATACCACAACCTCCACCTCATTTACACAGTGCTCAACTCAGCTGAGGACAGCCAAGCTCAAGTTTTCTAACGTGAAAAATTTAAGAGCAAGTTTGGTCAGATTAGAGATTAGAGCAAGTCATCTTAACTGTGAGAGGTTAACAAAAGTGAAGTTGAAATTCGGCTCCATTCGGTGAAGTGACAATATGGGAACTATTTTTTTATCTTTACCACACTGGACTAATTCTGCAGTTTAAGGATGGACTGCACTGTTGAGTTGCCCTCTGGTCTGTAGCCGAGTTTGCTTTATGACGTGTGAAATTGAAGTCGACAGCCTTCACGAACGCCCGGGAAGCTAGCGTGTCTGTGAAGGCCTCCGTGTGAGGTGAAGCAAACTTTCCAGTGATCGTAACTTAATTTTAATGTCAATCCTGCTGGGTCTCACTGAAAAACACCAGTGGTGCACACATCGATAGCTGGTGTCGAGCAATCATAGTGAAGCTGAAGCAGATTAACAGATGGCATATAAGGAACACCCATCATTATTTTTTTTAACTCATCCCTTTGTTTTGTTAGGGGAGCGGACACTTTAACCAACATGGCCCTGTATCCAATCACTGTCTGCATTGCCTTGAGATGACGCATTATAATTGAGACTGTAGTCAGTCTGATAATAATAAATAAATGTAATTCATATTCTGAAAATAATACTCTTCCAATTCGAATAATGGTTTTCAAAGTTGTGCTTTTTCTTTTAACCCGACTGGATGAAACTGTATGACATCAGAGTAACAGGGACAACTTTAATGCAGGTTTCACTGACCTAACTAAAATATTACAGTGATTACAGGACTCTTAGCAGCAGAGCGCTAATACATGAGGTCCTGGACTGCTATAAGTAAGCGGCATGTATAGGCACGATTGATGGATGAAGGCTGTTAGGGAGACACTGTGTTAGAGGTCATTGGTATCTGCAATGCAGCTCTATACGTGTGTGTCAGCGTGTGTGTGGTTGAGCTATAAAAGTTAGCTCCAGACCACCTTTTATTAGCTTCACTCAGGACGGGTAGCAGCCGCCTCAGCTGTGTCACCTCTATATCTGCTGTGCCTTTCTTCTCTGCATTTCTTCCATAAGCCTTACTCCTGTGTGTGTTCACGAATATTCAGACTTGAGCTGGCGTTTTGAGGCAGTTTTGTACAAACATGCACTCACGCGCAAGAGCTGGAGGGCATCTTAGGCACGCTGATAATGACTTTCCTGGGGACTGAAGTCATCATTAGGTTATTTTTGGGAGTTTGCATCATGCTTGTTTGTAGCTTGCTTTTCAATCAAAGCTTGATAAAAGCAGGAGGACTGCTTGATGTACACGAGATGACAAAACAAAACAAAACGTGGCGGTATTATTAGCTATAAGTGTGACTAGGTTGTGAAATCTAGCTGTGTCAGAGAGTTTACACAGTACTGTCAAGATGAACACTAAAAATGAAGACAAGGGTTTGAAGAAAAAGGGGAAAAAAACTTGCTGCAGACGTGGTGAAAGTGAGGAGAAAACAATAAAGCTATGTTGAGGTGAAATCCAGCCAAGCAGTTTTCATTTTCAAGTAAATACAGTTAGCATCGTCTCTCCTATCGAGCTGAAACCTCTAAAAGGAAATCTGGCAACAAGCCTTGTTTCTTTTCTTTCCCAGGACTGTTTGTGAACTTGGCCTCAAGCCCCTATTTTTCCATTTCCTTATTATAAATAAATATTCTAATAAACAAAACATTCTTGTCTTTTGGTCACAAAAAAAAGAAGGTCACAGCTGCTCTTGAGAACTCAGTCCTCAGGATAGTAAAGCAGCCATCAATTAAGCAGTGGAAATATCCTAATGGACAAATGGACTGAAAACAGACAATGAGGGAAACAAAAGAAGCAGTTTTAGTCTGCTATGTGTATTGGACAATATAGAAACACAAAAAGTAGACAGTCACTGTCCTGCATTAGTATAGTGTAGGCCTGCTGATGATAAATGAAGGACCTGGTGAACCGAGTTGATCCTGAACACTGTAAATCCTGTGTCTCTGTTTTTGGTGCAGCAGCTGATGTCAGGCTAAATGAATGCTGGGGAGAGCAGCCTAAATTCCCAGAGGTGCACATATGACACTTGCCAGAACAGATCGGACATTTATTAAATGACTGTCTACTGCAGCCTCCACTTGCAGGTGTTGCTTGCCAAAAGTCTTTTCCCCGCTCAGTCCACATTTGTCCACACACCGCTCATGTGCAGGGATGTCCTGAGATACTATTTTTCAAGGTCAGTAGATTATAAGACACGTAGGAGGAGCCTGGCTGTGGGAGTGCTGAGGATATGTGGGTCACTGGGAGGAAGTCAGAATTTGAGGCTTTAAAGCCTTTTTTGAGGAGAAAGCCTCATTAACTTGCAGCATTTTTTAAGTAAATTTATAGCAATAAATAAATAGAGGAGAGTCTTCAGGAAAAACAGCCAGCGGACTATAGTAAGCTATAGTAATGCATTTGTTCTTTACTGACCATACAGATTCATGGACTTTAGATATAAGATACACTTTTAAAGTCTTGAACTAAAGCCTTGAATGAATGAATTGCTTCGGGGGGAATTTACGGCGATTCTGGTATTTTTAACTACTTGCCTTATTGCCTTATTGACCCACCCCTTAAAAAGCCAGGGAAAATCGTCCATGACAAATTTGTGCTATTTGTAATGGAAAATTCCCAAAAGGTTGTTAAGGCCTCAAAGCAAATGTTCAGTCAGATTTGTTGCATTTAGGGAAACAGCAACCTTTTAAAAGTCACTTGAATCTTTAATGCAATATTTCTTTACCTTATCAAAAGAATCCAATTTCCACCTAAAGAAAATACAGATTTATACATATAGAACTGCACTCAATCATTTCAAGCAATATATTGTTAATACTCCGGAAATTAATGAAGAAAAAAAATCACACTACAGACCGCATTAAGCAACAGGCAACGCATTACTGAGAAGAATGATGATTGTTGACTTTTCCCTCTACCTTTACATGTTCCTGGAGGTGTGGAGAACAGAGGGAGATACCGGCACACCAACAAACATCCAGGGAACATTTATATGAAACCCTATCATTGTGAGAAAACTCAGTTATCAACTGCATTTCTGTGTCAAGACTCAGCTTAAGATTAAGAACCTCCAGTGTTGATCAGCCTCAAACCAACAGACAGAAAATAATGGAGCCTTTGTGGCACGTACCACTGAGGCAACTTTGAAGGCTGGCCTTAAGCACTTCAGTGTTGAGTAAAATGGCTGAGCTGATCCTTTTCCAGCTTCCGAACGGTGTCACTTGTACCTCTTTCCCATCCGGACAGTGTCTGTGTTGGTGCAGAGCCGCTTTCAGAATGGGCTTGAATTTCGACAGCGTTGCAAAGTGAAGTTTATGTAACACAGTGTACAGTATCTTCTCTCTGTGCCTCTAAAACAGTGTTACACAGCAGTGACAAAGTCTACAGCCGAATCGTGACAGCTTTGCTGTGTTAATAAAGTCTTTCCTGGGAAAACATGTCTGGCTCATTGTTTAGCTTTTGTTTGGATTTTGGGAATTTTTACGCACTCATGAATCTCAAAACTGCATTGCTGAGAAATGACTAGACTGCATACAGTCCAGGGAAAAGAGAAATAAAAACAACTGAGTGTGTACAGAAAGAAGTGACGCAAAAGTAAATGTTGTTGCATTTTTGCCTCATATTGACAGTCAGCCTGCTGACAGCAGCAGAAGCTGTGTGGGAGATGAGATCTATCTGTAACAGATAGCGCTGAGAGAGCCGACCTTTGAATCCTTATTTGAACCCACAGAAGAGACCCACACATAAGCACACAAGCCTATACACGCACACTTCCAACGCTCACAGATACATGTGTTTAAACTAACAATACACGGTGAAAAACTGAGCAAGGACTGAAAGCTGAATGACGCTAAAGCTTTTTTACTTTGCAGCTGAATTTGTTTGGTGTACATAAAGCTAGATTTGGGGAAACCAAAGCTTTTGATTGATTTTTCATCAACGTGGGGCCAGGTTTAATCCAGAACCAGTTTCCCAAATTCTGAAACATAGTATAGTATCATTAATTTGCTCAGCCCAAAGCAGAACCACTGATGCCAGTGACTACTGCAAGAAATTCAGCAACGATTGGCACATGAAACCCACTATGATTTTCTTCCTAAAGAAACTACCCCAACTCCTGCCAGTAACAATAGTCAATAATAGTCTTTTATTGCTTTGGCACATTCAATTTTGTGATATTTTAAGGCACATACCCAATACTTCTTAATCTCAAAGTGACAACTGCAAGACTACAAGGCAAAATCTTTTCAAAAGTCCTAAAATCCTCTAATGACACTAAATGGTAACCCCTAGAAACCCCAATTGCATGTTAGAGCTCAAGAAAATGCCTCAAGTGCCTAAAAAAACATTTAAAGTCAAAAAAATCTTTTCCAACAAGTTTTGGGGATATTTCCTAATTTCACTTCTGTGTATGACATGTGACTGCGCATGCAGATATGATTACGTCATCCCCACTCACAGTTTGTTTCCTTTGAGGGCAGCATGGTGCAGCAGGTTGAAGCCTCTGTGGTTCTGCTGGGTGAAATCAATGTTGGGCACCACGGACAGGATCTCAATGATATTGCGGAAATCTTTAGCAATGGCGTCGTGGAGCGGCGTGTCCCCGTATGAATCCTGTTAAAGACAGGAAGCAAACAGGGTCAAACTAGCTTTTCAAATTCAGGTTTTTAAATATTTTCTTGAGACTTTAGAAAATAACATTGACATGGTCTATTAAACATCTTCTATACAAAATATTCCGGTGATCTGTCGACTGAACATGATTTCTGTTCACTACAATTTGTTGATCCAGGGAGGCAAAAGTTCCTGATTGCCTATATGCTTCCCCGCCTTTATGAAATGGTCAAAAAAAAGCAGATGTACGCTCAGATCACGTGCACATTTATCACACGGAAACGCTGAAAAAACTCTGGGCTGGCATGTTTTTAGCTGAGTAGCCACACCATTGAAGCAGAAAAAAATAAATTAGGAAATTGTTGGCCTGGTTGCAGGCGTGTTAGACCATGTGAAAAATCCCCTATGGGCAGTATCACTGAAAGCCAGAGAAGATTACTTACTGGCTATCTAAACACTTACTCAAGGGTCTCTCTCCACCCCCTTAAACTGACTAGTTTGATAATTAATAATAAGCTCATTCACTCCTAACCAGTAACTGCACCAGAGTGAGTCAAATAGTTGAGTTAATTTAGTTCAAATAAAAGATAAGGAGTAAAAAGCAACACTGGAAAAACGATCAAGCATAAAAAAAACTAACATGTTGGATCATTTTTATTTATGGCTGGGGTCAGGACTGAGCACACAGCCACCTCTCACCTGGAGATTGACATCAGCAGAATGTTCAGTTAGCACCCGCACCACGTCAGTGAAGCCCTTGTTGACGGCGATGTGGAGCGCCGTGCACATGGAGTTGTTCAGGAGGTTGACATTTGCCCCCTTACTCAACAGCAGCCGCGCGATCTCCGCCTGATTACTGGACCAAAACAGACACAAATTAACCCGCACTTGATTGTTCACATTTCTGTAAACTATATTAATTCAAAACTAGGAGACAACAAATGAAAAGAAAAAGAAAAAGCTACCTGCATCTTCAAAAAGGCCAAGAGTTTCTTACCACGACACACAAATATCCCATCTGACTTTTTTATAATTTGGATTATATGAAATCTTTCCTGATCACATTAACGCAGGACGTTAACTGGGTGCCTTATTATGGTTATTATGCAACAGTTCAAGGCAGTCACTTCTGTGAACAGGTGATCACATTACAAGGAAAGGGATTAGCTTGAGCTCAAATCATTTATCTGTCAGTCACAAGCTCCTGTTTTGGACTTGCAATATGCTAGTCTTTTCTTGTTTGTATTTGGCAAATTGTCTCTATATATATATCTATTTATGTGTGTGTGTGTCCTTACCCAAAAGCAGTGTAGTGCAATGCCGTGTCTCCATCTTCATCTTTGACCTCAACTGAGCTGTTTGCCTGCAGCAGGGCCTTCACCACCTCCATGTGGCCTTGGTGAGCAGCAACCTGCAGCGCAGTCTTGCCTTGGTTCTTGATATCCACCTGCCATGGGCACACACATCGTTGCAGATTCATCAGAGCTGATGCTAGTCTGGACAATAACTGAGCTCAACACAGAGTGGTTGGAAATAATCTGCACATGAATAACAACCACACTCGTCATACACTTGAACACATAATCCAAATAAGTAGTGTCGTCACAGCAGAGCTGAATGCAGAGATAAATATTTACTCCGACTTCACAGTGTGACTTTTTTTTTCCTTTTTGCTTGAACAAAAGAAAAACATCTTAGGAAATTTCAAACATCAATTTAAGTAGTCTAGATCAACACTGAATGAAAAGTGAGTGCGACACAGCTACACTAACACACAGTGGCCAAACTGCAAGGTTTCAAAAGTATTTCGACACTTCGGTGTGTCACTGATGCACAAAAGGAGCCACATGTGACTCAGAGGTGTTTGAGGGATGCCATTTAGAGAAAAAACTCAATACGATAATGAGGTTGTAAAACCCACAGCCTATCTGAGGTCTATCTATAGCAGCTGGGTTTCCCAAAATGACCAGTTGGGTATTTTCTAAAAAAAAAAAGCACATGTGAACAGGAAAACTTGAAAATTGCAAAAGACAGTGTAAACAATGAATCTCAGGTTTGACAGATGCCGAGAAAATCTGGTTCATGATGAAGACAAACTGCACACAGTGATGCACAGCAAGTCTAGAACCTCACTAAAACACAGGCAATGATCAAAGGGTGAAAAATGATGCCAACATTTTATTCTACTTTTAAACAACTGATCACTTATTGCTTTTTTTAACCCATATTGTTTGACAGCTTTTAGATTATGCCTTATTCTTCACCTGTAATCAGTTAGGAGTGACTTAAGCACTGTTACAAATACCTTCATAAAGAAAATATATTCTTTAAACAGCATGCCTGGATCAATCACTGATCTGTCCTTTCAAAACCAGTTTTACATTCTGTCATTCAAACATGCAAATAATGCCTGAAATTATTTGATTCTTTGGCTAAGGTAGCCCATCTGGTTGTGTTGGAGATTTTTCCTCCAAACCATGGGGGAATTGTTGGTTTTCTCTATAATAATGTAAGGTCTCAGCCCTCTTGTGTGTGACCTGAAGATACATATGTCATGCTTTGGGGTTACATCAATAAATTATTGAACAGTGTTTCCACTGCCTGTGTCAGTGGGTGAGGGTGGAGGGGAAACCTTGTAAATCTGTTAACAAGGGAGTCCTATAGTTGAGTTTGAGTTGCATTTTTAAATAATAGCACTGACAGACTGGAAAATGTCAGCCTATAATATTGCTGTATCTGGCTCAATAAGTCAATCAGACTTCAACCCAAGGCCTGGAGCCCTGATGTAAAGAGCTCTTGGAACAGACAGTGGACTGCAGCAAAGAGAAGGAGTGCTGCACTAACCTTGTCAGGATACTTCTGCACCAGCTCCCGCACCTTGCTGGCACTGCCATGCGCTGCCTCAATGACTAGCCGACTGGGATTGTCTTGCTCTGTGGACTGAGAGAGCAGCTTCTCCAGCACTGAGATGACAGTACCTGAACAGAGAGAGTCAGAAAGAGAGGGAGAAGAGGAGGTGTGGGGGTAGGATGTGAAAAGGGAACAGAGGACAAAAGAATTACATTAGTTTTTTCCACTTCAATTCTAATGTTGCACAAGCCTTGCAAAAAAAAAAAAAAAAAAAAGCCATTCGAACTGGTTAACGAATGCTAGAATGAGTCAAAATGTCCCAGCATGCACTGGAATCTGACCACACACATTCGCAAACACACATCAGTCTGTTGTTAGCCTCCCATAATCTGAACTGAACACATAAACAGAGAAGATTTTGTCATGATTAAGAGACTGCTGAGAACTTGTGACATGATGACAAACGTGTCCACCTGCTGTCAAAGTGCAGGATCAGGAGATGCTACAGAGAAAATTTCAGAAAGAAGCATACTTTACACACTGCTGAAAAAAAACAAACAAACTTGATGCCACTGATGCCGCATGGATGAGAAAGGATGCGTAGCAAAGCTGAAATGAGGGAGAGTAGGGGGATAACTGAAAGCCTGCAGGAGATAAAGCTGGAGCTGGTGTGTTAGAGATGAGCCCCCTCTTCCCGGCAGAGGCCTTACTTCCAGATTCGTTGGGGTTCTCGGCCGTCATGAGGTTGGCATCCACCTCCATGGGTTGGGCTGAGAGGCACGCTGGGTTAAATGTCCATGTCTGGCCTCCAAATGCTACCCGTAGGTCACCATCTGCATATACTTTCAACACCTTGCCGACCTGGCCCAGCACCTATGAGAATAACACAATGAATAAGTGAGAAAGAATTGACAAGGACAAATAAATGATCCTTACTAAACACCCATGTACAACCTAATTTTCATGAAGTAGGTCAGTCGTAATGTGATGACGTTAAACAACTGGATCCTTTACTTTTGCAAGTAGCACAGTAAACATTGTGCACATAAACAGGGAGAAACCTGAAACCCGGAATATAGAGAATGGAGTAAAAGGGCACTGGCATTTGCCAAAATGCATCGGAAAAGCATTAACTAACATCTAAAATGATGCCATGTTCCAACGTATCTGTATTAGTAAACAATACACAGCAAACTGACACATAAATCCTGACTAGGATATTCGCTGGCTACAGCGGAAGCCATGGAAAACTGGCTGTTGCCCCCGGAGGGTAAGTCAACAGATTAGCTGGGTTGCTGGACTAAGTTATGAAACACTGGGTTCAAGTCAAAGTCATTCTTCAAAGCGATCATTACTTCACCAATTTATGTGACTCAAGTCTTCACTTCTGCACACAAGGTGAGGATTTTCAATCCAATTCTGAAAAACCACAGTAAGTTAGCATTAAGAGGCTACCGAATATTATCAGGTAAAATGAGCATACAGGAGTCATGCTGTCTGTCCATTCTCCATGGCCAGCCTGCAGTCTCTTCACGCTCTCCATGTCTTCCAATACTCTCACTAATTCCCCAACTCCAAACGTGTTCACCTAAGGGGAAAAAAAGCAGCCGAAGTCTAAACAAAGTAATTTAGCTGTAATAAACTGTGATATTAAAATAACAAAATAAGTAACGCAGTACCTTGGTGAGTGCCCCAGGATGGAAAGTCCAGCGGATATTGTTGCTGTACTGGACTCTGACATCTCCTCGGTCAGTGATTCTGTGAACCGTCCCAATCCGGCAAATGTACTGCAAACACAAATATGCTATTTAACCCTGGGTCTTCCTCTACATGGCTGTGACCTTAATGTCCCTTTTAGCAGCTGTGATATGAGAGTTGGATGCTCCATTTCTTTCTCCTCTGTTGCAACCTCCATCTGAGCCACTTATATAAATCTTCTGTATGCTGTGTTCTAGAGCCACGTGCATTTGAGGACATGTTTGTGTAAAACATGAAGCAGTCCATATGGTTACAATGGAAACCTGCTGGAAAAACCCAAGGAAGAGCACTGTGTACGTCTGTATTGTATTAGAACTCAATAGGGAGTTATTTAAAGCTGCCTATTGTCAACCGGTATTATGTTTTTACTTTTTCTAGCAGAAGGCATTTGTACCTCTGCCATTTTGGGGTTCCACCCTCCGTGGCCCTCCTGCATCTGCCGTAGGATGTCTACCTCCAACAGACATTTGACCTTGTCACCCTGCTGGAAAGAATGGCCGTCTGCACTCTCCTGACGCTGCAGCTCTGCATGCTCTCCTGGATGAACAGGTGTCAGCGTCAACAAACAGAAACTGACTCGAATTTTTTTTTTCTAAGCTAAAGATAAAAATAGCTTGGGTTTAAAGCCAGTATGTAATCAGTTTCTCAGTGTTACAGTATTACAATGCCACACAGAAGTACTGATAAGCACTGATATACGACATACAAGACATAAGTTGTTTACATCAAGTTAAATCAAGTTTCTGAGCCACTAAATAACTTTAAACTTTCTAAGGAATGCATACTTGAATAAAGAAAGTCTGTCTTACCAAGTTTTGGTAGGTGATCTTTGTAATAGAAGCCTCCCTGGCCATCTGTCACATATTTCAGGTCTACCTTGCCCTTGTGGCCCATTCGGTAAACATTAGTGGTGCCATTAGACCAGGTGACACTGGCCACGCTGCGACCAGACTCGTTGTCCCAGCCACGAATGTCCACTACCTTCCCAACCTTACCCTCCCCACCTACACACACACACACAAAAGTGCAGAAACAAACACAGATATAATGCAAGAAACACCAGTGCATCAGTTTATGGGAAAAATGGGAAACAAATGCAGTGAAAAGAAAACAAGCTCAATAAAAGAAGGAAAGGTGGTTAGTTAGACGACCGTGGTGTGATGCAATGATCAAAAAATAAATAAATAAACATGAGTGCAAACAAAGTGAGAGACAAACATTTCATTGTAGGGGCTGCCAAGTATCACAGACATTCATTATGATTTTCTACAATCACCGTCAAACACCTGACAATTTCCTCTTTTTGATTTGAGTGAAACCAAAGGACCAAATAATCAAACAATAAACACAAACCACATTATTAATGCACGTGTTGTGTCACAGGATAATTTCAGATCCATACATCCAGCTGTATGATGTAAATAAATCCTTGCTATGCCATTTAAGTCATCAAGCTGCTTCAGCGCCTAAACACACCAACTAAACCAGTGACCTGTAAGACAACACGGTAGGCTGGGAAGACACTGAGCATGCTCAGTGTGTCTTTTATGCACTTAGAGCATACACCATTTAGGCCTGATGAGTGACTTAACCGAACCCCAGGGCACTGATTTCAAAGGCACCAAAAGGACATTTTGACTCATTCTCCTTAGAAAGAAAAGGGAGCGTTGCTATTCTCACAACCCTGGACCAAAAAAAAAAAAAAGAAGTCTAAGGACACGTTGCCATTCTCTATTTCTTTAAAGGGAACGTTTACAGACTTGAATTTAGCCCATCGATGTGGAAGATTACTTTGAATTAAGATTTTAACTAAACATCAGCCAACGTAGGCTGTTTGGATCTGAAAAAAAAAAGAACATGCAACAGCGAAGTCAGTATACAGTATATGACAGAGTTAAACTTCAGCCATTCGTGGAGGCAATAAAACACAATTCAATGTCTCATATATTCTTAACTCTCTACTTTATCTAAACTAATCTTTTTTATCTAAACTATGACCACAGACTTTAGGTGCAGGGTCTTTCTCAGTTTATGCCACTACACAATGATGGAAAAGAAAACAACGAGGACTCAACTGGGACTCTCAGAGACGCAAACAGTCAGGCACATCTGTGAGACAGACTTATATGAGTCACCCGCAAAATAAGTACACACAAACACATGCTAACACAACATCTTACAGGTTAATGAGTTGTGAGGTTACAATGTTATTATGGGCTGTTGATGGTAAAACACTTTGAAGAGGAACATTTCCACACTCAAGCATGCACAGAGTTTGCTGAGTTGCCAGGTTATTGGTATCATTAGCCCACACATCACTCACCATCTTGGTTGCCCCAGTCCCAGTCTGGTCCACGAACCACTTTAACCCCCTGGAAGATTCCTTTGAGGATGATTCGTGGGAGGTTCTGCCTCGGTGCCAGGCTCACCCTGTGACAAGAGCATGAAGACGCAGCTGAACAAACAATCATAGAAAATGCTGAAGGGTGCTAAGCAACCCCAAAACCTTCTCCAAATATGCACATTAGAAGTTCTAAAAATTAAAAATTAACTCTCTTACATATTTGTAAGAGTTTGGAATTAGTGGCAAGGCAAGTAAGAAAAAAATGTAACACTTGCAGCCAATACATTTACTCGTGACAAGAAAACATTTGAAGTTACACAAGATATGACAATGCAGTAAAGAACACATCTGCCTGACATATCAAACAAATGCTACTCAAGGCTGTCTGTTCTGAGAAATGATATCTTACTTAGCAAAGGCCATTTTGTAAAAGGAATTCAAGGACTGTGAATAGCTATGCTTAATAATAACATACACGCACGCACACACACACACACACACACACACACACACACACACACACACACACACACACACACACACACTATTAAAGCCACAATATTCTCAACACCATTAACCTTGAACACAATCTGACATAGGTGAGCTAGCCGTATCTACAAAATCAAACATACTTTATGGTAAAAATTTGATCAGATGTTGGTGCAAAAGAGCTGCCTATTCCCATACTTCTCGACGAGATCAAAGCCCAGCTTCCTTTCCAAGCAAACAGCTAATGGGATAAACTCCAAATCATATTAAATCCAGTGTGTTGAAAAGAAAAAAAGAGCCTTGTGAGAGCCGTCATCCTCAGGGAGTCTCATAGAGACTCTCGTGCTGGGGTTTCGCTCAAAGTTAGGCTTGACTAACTTCACCCCCATCGCTAGCCAGATTTTCAGGATCCCATATGTGCCACAGCAGAAAATAGCAGTGCATTTCCCTCTTAAAGCTAACCAACAGTGAGTGTGGTCTGAGCTTAGACAGGTCTGTGCCGAGAATGATGTGTATCTGAGCACAGAGCTTTCAGCCTAATCCTAGACAGCAGAGCTATCAGAAAGCAGGGCACCACAGGGCAAATCATAGACAGTGCACGTGCTAGCATCCAGTACTATGTGCATCTAGATAGTTATGCACATGCATATACAGCTTCAAACCATGAAGCTGCTAATAACAAATGCCCATTTCCTGATGGCACCATTCAGATTTAGTTTAGAAAGACTGGACAGACTTAAGTATCATGAGCACCTCTACTTATGACAACAATAAGTCAGCTCATTAAGACAAGCAAACCTATTATGAAAACATGACCCATGGTTTTTTGAGAGCAGAGAAGATATAAACTGACAGATGTCCCCGTTTTCATGGACAGTGAAACACACGACCTCAGTGTTTCACATGTTTGTTTTTTCAGTACAGCTTCTCTTTCAAGGGATCAAGATTTCTAATCCAGCTTGACCAAATGTCAGCGCTGCTCACAGACAAGATGAGGATCAGGGCAAGAGACCTAAACCTACTGACACAAAAGCTGGATCAACAGTCATCCAAGCAATAGCCTTTGGTATTAAAGCAGTGTAATACACACAAGGATCTACCAAGCAAAGAGAAGTCACATCTGTCAGAAAGACAAAGCTAAACTACGTGTATGTGAAAATACCAGGAGTGGGTCATGCAAATGCATTCAGAGCTTGTATCTCAAAGCAAGTTTAAAATGTCTGTCTCGTTTGCATTTAGAGCCTTTAATGTGTGAGTTGCCCCTTTACAACTGTAAAAACAGCATTAGGTTCCAGACTTATTGGTGATATCTTTAGAAATAACATGTTTTGTCATTATCTAGTACGATACTTGTTTTAATCCATACTTCACCTAGTAACGTACTAATCTTAACACATTTGAGGAGTGTTTTAAACGCTATTTTGATAAGACTGGAAAGGGAAAAAAAAAACAATGCAAAAAAGGCCTAAAACCCCAAAAAAAAAAAGAAAAAGAAAAAAAACCAATTTTCCAACAAAACCAAAAACCCAATCAAGTCCGGCCGGAAGAGGGAAAGCAGCAGAAATCCCTGCAGGACAATAATGAGGATAGCTTGGTTGTAGCTTAAACATGAACACACAGCAGAAAACTGAGAAGTCAGGTGGGGCGGTGAAGGATTAGGCACTGATTTGACCCAATAGGTTCGCATGTGTGGTGCTTGCGTTGGGAGAGCCGATTAACCAGCTGCATACCGACCATCTCCTCGTAAACATATGGCACGCACATATGCTGCTGTGAGCATGTAAACACATGCCTCTTTGTACCATGTAACATATGAATCTTAACTAAATGCAGGACTCTGCAGGCTTTTCAGCGCATTCGGTACATTGCAAAATTATTCCAAAACAACAGCCAGAGGCTAATAACGACCAGGCTTCATGGCTTGTGAGCATAAAACTTCGCCCTGACTCGCTCCACATCTGAGACCTGTTAAAACATGTCTTCAAGGAAGTTGAAAATGTTAACATGCTAATCCTCACAGCTGAGAATGGTAACCATGCTAATCCAGCTAAATCTGTGTAATTACAATGGAACACTCATGTACAGTACATCCGGCTCAGCTCTCACACCACGTTTGTGACGCCGCTATTATATTGTCAGCATTCTGCAGCTGTTTATTACGCTGACCACCGATTGTCCCCTCAGGCCGCCGATAAGGTTTCTGCCAACGGTATGACAGTAAACTACAAATAGATCAAGCTTGCTTAAGTTGCATTTAAAGCCTTGCACATGTTTGACCCACACGAAAGGAGTCCCTCTTAACTAGCCCAAGCCCCAACTTGAGCTTCCTAACATAAATCACAGCTGGCACTGCATGAAGTCACAAACATTATGAAGGCAAGTTAAATTTGTCCTTCCAGGCAAATATCAGTGTGTCCCATGACTGCCAGATTATAAATTCATCTTTTGAAATGCTGTCAGTGAAATATGGGTCAGTGTGGTCCGGAAATAAAGAAGTGCTGTGTGTCTGGCATCACATATTGTCGGCTGCTCTTCTACTTCATTCATTGGATGAGAAAAGAAGTGACTTTCATGTGATGATCTTCCAAATCTGTATCAGTGAGAGACAACAATTGCAATTTAATTTTTCCTCCGATTATACAAATCTCCCTTTGATAAGACTCCAAGATATAAATACATAGCATTATAATGATATGAGAGAAAAACTGTTACTTATATCAAATGATTAAATGATCTTGGTTGTCTTGTATAATTTGCATTCACTACACTGGCTGTGTGCTGACATTATGAGTAAGCTTGCACTGACCAAAAAGACTCCTCTAGAAAAATGCTTCTGACATACATAAACAAAAGTTATTTCTAACTTCAAATCCAACCCAATTTATCACCACTGTGAAAAACACAACTGAATAACAAACAATAACATCTCAAAATTTGTTTTCTAAAAGCTAAAATTTCACTTTAAGGGGGCAGGGCATAATTATAAGCCAGTACATAGTTTTCAGAAGTTAAAGGAATGACTGGAATATTTATTGGGGCAACATAAATATATCTTGTAGTCAAACAACTGAAAATATGTTGAGTCACACTGAAGTTCACCGCCATCGAGAACAATACGTGGAACATTGTGCACTCACTCGCTGTGAGAGCCGTCAATGATAAACACCGAACCACTCAAAAGACAAAGAGCGTCGACCGGTTGGAGATTTCATCCACATCGTGACAGGATAAGGTTGGCTGACTCTGATAGGCATCAATATACCATTTGTATTTTTGATTCTTTAAAAGTCATCTCCCTGAGAGCCAGAATTGAGAGAGGCTCATTGTGTTATCACTCCATTCAAAAAGGTTGCAGAAAAGAGCTACAATTTCTAAATCTCATTCATATTATAGAGCCTAGTATTTATGAAAGGCCATTTCAAACATCTTTCAAATGGAGATATTAATCCCACAACATCCTATTTTAGTCTTTGAAATCTCTGTATTTTAAGATTCTGTATTTCTATTCTTCTACACCGCTTTAAATTAGCATCTACGTAATGTGCCATGATCTCAAAGAACCCACACAGAAAAGGTTTCTACAGTATAAATAGTAACTAACAACAATGCAAAACTGTAACATTTAGGTTGACGAATCGCAAATGCTACTTACATTTACTAGCTCAAACAATTTAAAGGTGTTTCTCGTCTCAATAAAGTACAGCCTTATTTTCGGCTTTCTAAGTTTAGCCTTGTCTCACTTTGATGTTATGCACCCTGTATGAGATTGCAGCAGTGCCTGTTTGGTAGATTTCAATAACAAAGGCAGGTTGCTACTTGAAATATATCACTACTATATATTTCCTAAAATCATTATCTTTGTTAATGTGTCTAAAGAAATCCCCAACTCAATGAAATAAAAAAATGAACTGTCAGTGAGTATTAGTATTTACTTGCCCAGTACTGACAAAAGGAAGGCGCTGATGTTTTAACCCACATGGAGGTTCACAGAAAGGTTTTTATTCTGTTATCGCAATGCTGTTCACAGCTGAGCCAAACAAAATTTTGACCTTAATGAAAATCAATAGTTTTGGGGAGAAACTGAGGAAGGAAAAGAAATGAGTTCCAGCTGGTGTCAGAATGCTAAATGATTACTGCAAAGGCCAGATTTCACTCAGATGTGCAATTGATGTGCTGCTCCGGTACCATACCACCTATCCATAGCAGACGAGTACAGACCTGACCAAAATCTAAAATTCCACTTTATTAACAATACGTCTCATATTTAATTAATTAAAACAGGATTTCACAGATCAGTGCAGGAAAAATCAAGCTGCACATTCATAAGCAAAGGTGTAAGAATGCATCTGCTCATCCCATTTTAAAATAATGTGCTGATTGTGAGACTTAATTTTTTTTTTTTTTTTTTTTTAAAGGGTTTTAATAGAAATCAAGATTACCAAATTCTTGGGCCAAAAAAAAAAAAAAAATTTTGAGAGGAAGCCATTTGTAAGAAGCCATGATTCATGCACCTATTCTGAGCATTTTTCGGGCAACAGACTCAGAGGAATTAAATGGAACTGTGTTGGACCTGGACGGGACTAAACTATAGAAGAAATCTGGGTCATACATATCACCTCATTAAAATGAGAACAGGCCATCCAGCTGACATTCAGACAGTGCCTGGAGCAGTTTGGAGCTCTACTGTGAACTGATGCAGAAGAGTGAATTCTGAAGGGAGAACTCACTCCAGTAAATCTGGATACGTAGGACACTTGGAATCAGCTCACTAAACATTTATCCCCAGCAAGGAGGCGTGCAGTTTGCACGATGCCCACTTTTATACCACAGGTGTCTTGTGATGACATTCGTTAGAGTTCGTGCGGGACCAGCCATGCTCTGCTGAGGTCATTAGAATTGTGGCTGTGACACATCCATTTTTTAATGGTTGTGTCACCCTCAAATACTAACATCTTAACACATAGCACTGTAGACTAACTACAGCCGCAGCCAAAGTCCAAACAATAACAATAACAATAATGCTGAGGTACAACATCACAATCACAAGCAATAGTGGCCGCATGATGTTGTTCAGAAGACTCCAACCAGACCTACAGGAATGTATGAATTCCAGATTAAGATTAAGATTTGAGGAAGCCATTATGAGGCCAACACAATTTGAAAACAGCAAAGTAGCAAAGACACCATCATTAGAATTAAATAAGGATCAGCTGTGCTGGAGAGCGAGCAGAGTCGTACTCACGGCTGGGAGTGTGCTGTCTCGTAACGCTCGAAAGCGTGGCTCAGGTCATGCTTGTTGTTCATGTAACACTGGGTGCACAGGTCATAATCGAAGCACACCTTGCACTTCCATCGCATTCCCATGATTCCATGCTTCTTGCAGCTGTCACAGATGATATTGGAATGACGCACCCCTGGAGTGGAAAGTGAGATGTTGAGTGGGCACAACAGGCTTGATGTTTCTTTTTGTATTTTTGTTACAAAGAAACATATGTTTTGACAGAACATGTCATAACCTTCACAGCAAAGAGGACACTACCATTCATTCCCCCGTGTCTAAGTCAGTGAAACGTTTAAGGCATACGTCACATCCTTGATGATGTTACTTATCGCAGAGGGTAACATCATGAGATGTGCAAAAACTGAGGCACAAACAGCATGTGCCTCAGGCCCCCCACCCCCTTGGCTCCTCATCTCTTCTCCTCCTCTTCTTTCGCTCCATTAATTGAAGGGCAAGTTTTGTGAGGCAGAAAAATGTTGCTTGAAATGGAGCAAAAATGCTAATGAGTCCTGCATTAATGTGTGTGTCATTCAAGTTCAAAACTGAGCTGGATGGCTGATGGCTGAAGATAAAAGATGACTTACTGTACCCCGCTTTCTTTAAATGGGCCAAGTAAAGGCTACGTTCACAAAAATACAAAGTGTGTAAAGAGAATGTGTGTAAAAAAAAAAAAAAAAATACTACATGGATCAACTACATGGATACATTTTTCACTTTTTATCAGAGCCTTTCAAGCTAGTGCTTGGCTTTAAAAATGCTGAATTATCAGGATAAGATCGAGTTCAAGCATTTACATAATTATAAAACAAATCCTGATCAAATGTTTTTTTTTATTTAAAAGAAGTATTAGGATTATAATAACACTATAATTCGTAGCAAACAATAACTACCTACACAAATTTGAACCTATTAAAAGCTTGGAAAGTAATCTAACCAAAGGCAACATTTTATTTTGAAGGCGCTCTTGAACATCAAAGCTTCTAGCATTTTCCTAAGCTGGAAAAAGCAGAAATAACCATTTTAACTATGAATTACTGAAAGGACTGAAAACAATACAATAGCATAGTATCGTTTGGTATAATAACAAAACTACAATCACACTGGTGCCATGACTCAAAAGTTTCACAGCAGTTTCATATGACTCTAATGTAATCGCTTACCAATCTGAGCGTTATCATAAAGCAGCAGGTCATAGGCACCCTGGTAGCCAGTACGGTAGTTGGTTCTCGTGCCGCTGTCCCACTGCACCACCACCGTCTTGTCTGGAGTTGTAGTGCTGCCCTGACGCCCGATCTCCACCACAGTACCCACATGGCCCTCACCATCATCTTGGTTTCCCCATTTCCAGTCCAGGCCGCGCACAACACGCATGCCTACCTCCATGCTGCCTCTTTTGGGGCCTGGCCGACAGGCTGAGGGCAACGTCTGAGGCCTGGCAACGCTGTCACGTCCGCTGCTGCTGCGCCTCCGGGGCTTCTGAGGTGCAGAGCCGGCTCGTGCCGATGGTACTGCTGGTAAGGACGGCACAAGGGTTGTTTCCGGGAACAGATCAGGGGTGACTGAAGGAAAAAAAGGATAAAAAGCATTGAAAGAGCAGTCACAGTAAAATGCTCCAAGTACAAAAGAAGTTGATACATTCCACTCCTGCACCAGTGTGTTTTACTACATGTCTATCAGTGTTTGCTTGGGGACTTGAATAGCAGCATGCCATACGTCCTATTAATTTCTTAGCAGTGTTTTACTCTTAGTGGTGGATCATTCACTGGAGGTCTTGCTGTGCATGATGGCACACTTGTGGAGAAAGCTGTGGAGAAAGCAGCTGGACATCAATGCTATGCCCTCCTGCGCTAATCAAGCCCTGGCCGGATATGTGCACATGTACACACACACACACACACTTAATTCCTTAGCAGGACAACATATTGGCCTCATTCTTGTCCTGAACGTCAACTCATAAGACTGAGCTAGTAATCATGGGGCAAAAACTGAAAACACATAAGGTGAGATCTCTGAAACAAACAAAACAGGCATCTTTTAAGTGACATAAACAAAGTTACAATTTAACAATGAACAAAACTCTGAGTTTATGTAATTGCTAATGAGATAAGTATTTTGTCTCACAAAGACTGGCGCTACTGGTCCAGATACGATCAGGGGTTAAGCCATCAAGTTGAACTTCCTTATACGGGGGTTTCTTAAACACAGAGTTAATCACAAGAAAAATCTTACCCACACTCCCCTAGCCTGGGCTTGTTGTCATATTCTTCATGAACAAGTGAACACTAAGCTATAACAGCAAAAAAATCAAATGCAAAAAACAAAACAAAAAACAAAATCTCACAGTATTCCTCAGTAAGTAGGGAGTAATCTGCCTAAATCTCCTTAATTAAAAAGAAACAAACTTTTGCCATAGGCGAATAAATTAATTTAGGTTGTTTTTTCAAAAGAAACCAAAAAGATTAAATTTTGTCTGAAGGAGAAAACATTTCACACAGCTGACTGAGTACACCAGTGGTTTAAACTGATGCTGCTGGGTGTTGGAGACTACAACTACAAGTAAAAGGAAGTGGCATTTACAGTAAGGGAAAGCTTGAGTCAGCAGCACAGAAAGAAACTTCTGCTGGAGACCATGATCATCAGCACACATCTAATTACATCCATTAATCACATGTGGCACATCAGATCTACTCTTTTATACACCACATCATTACATCTCCATCACAATTTAAAGTATTCCTTGTTTATTAAAGCAATGCTATTTAAATATAGTGTGTCTCAAATAATTACCAGGTCCTTTCCTACAACATGCAATTCAATAAAGAAGAATTTGAAGATGTCATATCTTCAGTTCTTTGGAAGTACACATTCTTTTGGTTGCCATTATTCACTGTAAAGCCAGGCTTACACACACACACACACACACACACACACACACACACACAC